ATGATGTATGAAAGGATACTCCTCCTAAACGACTATTCGGATTTTGATAAATCTTTCTGAAGTTTGTTAAGGGAATTTTTTATGATGTATGTGATTATAAAAATATACTAATATTGTAGAAATAAATAGGAAAAATTGCAAATAACAATATGTCATTATTTGGCATTGAAAATAGTTTGACAAATGAAAACTGTCACCTGACAGAAATTTTAATGTATCTATGAGCCTAGACAATATTAAAATACATTCATGATTATGAATAAGAAAAATGTAATGTCTACATTATAATTGCCGAAAAGCAGCTGAGATGTGCCAGAAATTAAAATAATATAAAATACAGTATATATTTAGCAGATGTATTATATAATTCAGTTTGACAGATTTTTTTTTTAACTAATGCAGTCGTGTTTCGCCTTACTTTACTAAATCACAACATAAAAGAGTTTTACTTATTCAGATAATTATTTAGAAGTTTCATTGTGTCAAAAATTCATTTGTTTAGCTTTGGATACGATATATTTACTCAAGTCAATGAAGTTTTCAGTTTGAATTTTTTTACTGTGCTCCAATTTGCATGAAATTTTGGAATTAGGTTCATCTTACTTTAAAGTTCACAAGTGAAAATAATTTATACACCTAGTCTCATTTTGTTTTTGTCAAAATAATGTCAGGTATCCATAGAATTAATTATAAGAAAAAAATGTTTCATGTTTTCTGAAAAAAGCAACTACTTTTCAAGTTACTGGCTACTGAAAATTAGTTTCTTTTAAGCGTTTTTTATCGTTTTTTGTGCAAATATCTCCAAAAATATACATTTTAACGACAATCTTGTATTGAACAAAATTGTATCAATTAAATTATTAATAAATCGGTGTTTTATGTGTCCTAGAAACAATATAAAGCTAGATATGAGAAAGCAAAGTCGTTTTTTATTTCGTTCGAAATTTAATTGTTGTATTTGAAGCAATCTAGTGGCGAGGTGTTACATTTTATATATTCTATGAAATTCAAATTAATCTTTAAAGTGAGTACTATTAAAGCTCTGTTTTTTTATATAAATCAAATAGTTTTATGAGTGCCATTACCACCAAAATTAAAACTAATTGTATTGCATTTAGAATTAATTTGATTCAAGAGATTCCTGAATATCATGAAAATTGGAGCACAGTACAAAAGCTTACAGGTTTACTCTTTTTATCTCTTCATTTACTGCACTAATTTAGTTGATCGTAGATTAAATAGAGCACATGTGAACAGGATTTTTGACTAATTGATTTACTTAAAATATGAACTTAAGTAATAATGTATATTAAATTATAACTACAAAAAATGTAATTTAGATATTATTATTACTAAAAACAATTAATATATAGTACGAGATTATAAAAATTATAGGCAACATTATTGAAGCAATTATTTTGAGTGAAAAAATCCAAGAAGATATTGTTTTTTTTTAACGCAGATACTATATATTAATTATTTCTGAATTTGTTATACTGTTTAAAACACTGCAATTTCCAATACGTATATCTTATGCCATAAATCACAAAGGCAGACGATAAATTTTTGTGTGACAAATTTGGAAAATCGATGTTTTAGTCGTGAATAAACAAACAATCATTTATTTATACATCTACACATACAGGTATGACTAAGAATATTGTATAACCCTTGGCATTAAAATAAATTGAGATAATGGAAATAAACTTGTTACATAAATTGTAGTGTATATTTCTAATATACTATTTCAATGATGAACATTTGTTTGTTTGATGGTTTTACGTGGCTGATTTGAATTTCACAGTATAATTAAAAAGTTAAGGGTGGGTTCTAAGACTCATAATTTTATTTTCTACATTTAAGATCACTCATATTGATGTATATACATTTCACTATAGACTGTAGTGTAAAAAACATTAATGTTTAACTAAATTATAAATATTAGCGAGGAATATCCCACACGAAGATTAAAAAAAATGGCCATACGATCTTAAGTAAAATGTCAAAAATAAAAAAAAAGAGAAATATCTCATAGGAGATATTCTCTTAAATGCATTAACACCAACAACATTAGGTCTTAAAAAATGTTTATTATTTTGATTGACAATGAAACTATGCAAAAAAAATTATAAATATCAGTATAAGGTATTAAATAAATTAGAACTTTCTAATTGTATACATGGGTACAGGACATCTGTCGGGCTAGTTTAAATATTAGGTTGTCAAATATCTCCCTTCCGCCTTTTTGTATTATAAACCAAGAGCAAAAAAGCGGAAGGGAGATATTTGACAACCTAATATATAAACATCATGCGGTATTTTAAAATAAATTTAATTCAAAGTCTATTACCTCCCCTGTAAAGAATTATTGTACCATAAAATTCCTATTACCAAGAATATGAAATATCATTTATATAACGTTTTTAAATCTGTTCCCCGTCAGTATTTATAACTCTGTCGCACGTGTGACATAAATATTTGATTTTTTCCCCGAGATATGAAGAATTCGTCATGTCAGTCAGTCATGTCGGGTATTTTATTATATATTTTTCAGATGCGACTCTCGTAAAACGCCAACTGAATTTAATATATACGCAAATGCGTATCTGCGAATGAATCCGTATCCTGAAAAGTGAGTATTTGCTTGCTTCTACTGTTTAATGCCATTTGCCATTTGCCATTTGAATGCCAAATGGAATGGTGATTTTATATTCTATTTTCAAATGGTGGTGAGTAGTAGAATATGTGTCTAAAAGGTGCTTGATAGAGATTACATGTTTTATTGTAAAATGGGGAAGTTGAAGCAGTCGTCAATATACCGGTTCAATTTTTCGCAAATTTCACTCGAACAAAAATAGATAATTGATGGGCGATACATTTTGTGAAAGTAACATAAGAAGTGCAAAAGTTTTCTGTTTATTTAAAGGTAGTCATGTCGCCCGATTCAAGACAATACTGGTTATGAATCTTTTACTCTCTACTATAAAATAGCATATTTAAAAAATGTCATACTTTACTTGTTCTTGAGATGTTGAAGGTGGACCTTTTTAGTCGTGGACTTCAAAGTCTACTCCTACAAAAGTATTCAAATCGCATTTTTGTACATGATTTAAGTATTAACTTTCGGAAAGAGAAGTTTGTCTTCATCAAAAAATCCGATTCGTTAATTTTATGTTTGCTCGACGTTTGGAAAACAAAATTTGGAAAAACTATGTGTGTGTATATGTGAACAGATTTTTAGCCATAATTCGACGTTTTTTTAAAAACAGCTGGACCGATTTTAAAAATTTAAAAGCCATTCGATGTATGAGCCATATGATGTACTCTATGAGTACGTATGAGTTTTTTGAGATGATCTGCCAAACCGTTTCTTTGTAGTTTGGAAAAAAGTGTTAAACTTTTCGTACACATTTAAGCTCATACTACCGAATCGATTTTAAAAAATCAAAAACTGTTCGAAAGATATTAGTTGGGAATGTTACTGATTAGTTTTAGGTGAAAATCTATCGAGCCGTTTTCTTATAATTAACAGTTGAAAAAAAAAATTTAAGCCGATTTTTATGGAACTTTTGTTGACGATATATATCATGGTCTAAGAAATATGAGATAAGGTCCTTAATGCGAACTCTTACTTTCCAACGATTAGATAATAACAATTTATAAATAATTTTTTATGAAAAAAAAAGAAGAAATCAAATAATAATTAAAAACAAACAAAACAAATATATTTAAAACTATTATTGAATACATTATATAATATTAATTTATAAGTACTAATAAAATATATTTTTTATAATAAATTAAGATAAAAACATCAATACTATTTTTACACCAAAAACTTTAAATATAACTTATACATAATAATATAGCATTAATTTATTAAAAATATTTTAATATATTTAGATATTATATGGTATTATTTAAATATTTTAAGCATTTTTTAATAAACTGTTGTCAAGAAAAAATAATTTAAAAGAAAAACGCCTAAAATAAATTAAATTGAAACGAAACTTTTAAATTACTTCATTTATATTTATTACTATCCAAACTAATAATAGCAAAAATATTAAAAAATAATTTATATTTAAACATATTAGAAATGCAGAATAATTAATATACAATTTTTTCAAAAATCATGACTTTTCGTATCGAATTTAAATTAAATATTAACATTTATAAAATTGTTACTGTATTAATTTAATTAGTCACGAAATAATATTTTATTTGTATTTACACAAAAAATTATGCAATATTATTACCCAAACAGATGTCTATTTTTAATATAATTAATTATATTATTTTATTTATAATTAATTATATTATTTATAATTAATAAATAAAATAGTCATCTCGATAAATATTATTGTACTGAAAAAAACTGATAAAATTATTATTTCTTAAGTGGACATGTCTATTTGCTGTGCTATCAGGCGTATTTTACATATAAACAAGCAAGGGAGAATGTTATGATAACTGCTTCATCGAAGATTCTGTTTTCACAAGGCTTTTCCTTGTTTGTTTATATATAAAATTTTAAAAATTTATCAAAGTATGAGAAAATGAGTAGTTTTTTTGACGTTTGTTAAAATTAAAATTAGACGATTTACTTGGTATAACGATAGACTACTTGGTCTTATTGAACATACTAAACCATTAAAGTCCTACGAAAACTGGTTCAATTATAAAAATTATTAATATGTGAAAATTTGTTTTTAAAAAATACTCCGAGTAAACGTGTTCGTTGCATTCAATATGTTAATTATGCAATTTTACAAAAAAAATAATAAATTTTGTAAATTTGTTTTTGCTAATATAATAACAAAAACAAGGACGTCTTGGGAAATATTTTTATTTATGCAAAAATATTAAAGTTGGTCCATAATTTTAACACAATACACAATTATAAATATACAGTTGGAACAGAAATATTTTGTCTTTATATTTCTTTTAGAAAAATGTATTACCAAATATTAATTGTGTATTTAGTGCCATTAATATATATGGCATTAGGGACACAAATACAACCTTCAAAGTATGTACAAGATTTTACAGAAAAGCGAGAGCAACTTTTAGAAAAAGAAGCACGTTTATCTTTAGGAGGATCCTTAAAATTAACACCTCAAGAAGAAACTGCAAACAGATTTTTGATGAAACATAAATCTGACGAACTTGATAAAGGGTTTAAAGATATCAGCGATTTTCTACCAGCTGCAAGTTTTTTGAAAATATCCAAAGACATGGAAAAACGTCCTGTGTTCAAATTGTTGCAAAAGTTGCCTAAAGGTGCAGTTTTACATGGACACGATACAGCTCTTGTGAGTGCCAAATATATTGTAGAAAATATTACCTACAGAGATAATTTGTACTTAAAGTTTGATAAAAATGAAGTATCGGAGATGAGATTTTTTAAGCAAAAACCCGAAGACAACAAGTGGAAAAGTGCTAAAGATATTAGACGCCAAAAAGGTAAAAATTATAACAATTGGATGACAAAAGAAGTTACCTTGCACGATCAGTATGTAGGTTTGAGTGTCAACGATGTTTGGACAAAGTTTATAGGCTTGTTTATCAAAATTACACCAATGTTGACGTATTTACCAGTCTGGAAAGATCATTTTTACCAAACCCTAAAAGAATTTTATGATGACAATGTTAGTTATTTGGAATTTCGAGGAACTTTACCAGAATTGTATGAACTTAATGGAACGACTTTGAACGAAATTGATGCTTGTGGTGTGTACGTCGAAGTTTTGGCAAAATTTAAAAAAGAATACGTGAAACATGACCGATTTTTTGATGCCAAATTCATCTACGCTCCTTTGAGATTCGTGAATGAATCTGAGTTCCAAAATTATATGAGGATTGCACAAAAGTTGAAGGAAAAGTATCCTGATTTCATTGCTGGTTTTGATCTGGTCGGTCAAGAAGATCTAGGACAACCTTTGCAAAAATTTACACAAGGACTTTTGGATTTAAAAAAAGCAAATTTAGACTTGTTCTTCCATGCTGGTGAAACCAAATGGAGTGGTTCGTCTACTGATAAAAATTTAGTAGATGCTGTACTTTTGGGTACGAAACGTATCGGACATGGATATGCCATCACAAAACACCCGAAGGTAAGACGATTCTAAAGATTTTTTTTATTTTTGCTATTCTAAAGTAGAGGGCAAAAGATTAGAGCAAACTCTGTTATATCTTCAGTTTCTTTACAGGTTTTGCAAATGGTGAAAAACCAAAACATAGGCATAGAAATCTGTCCAATTTCGAACCAAGTTTTGGGTTTGGTTGGAGATTTGAGAAACCATCCTTTGGCATCTTTAATTATGAATGAATATCCTGTTGTTATAAGTTCTGATGATCCTGGACTTTGGGGAGCAACTGGTGTCACTTATGATTGGTATTTACATTTTTTGACCCTTACAACTGCTTTATTTATTCTTCATTTCTTAAAAATCTGATACCTTCAATTCCCATCTTGGTTTTCTGCTTCCTTACAATTAAATTAAATCACATTAAATTCTTGTTAATTTCAAATGAATTATTTTAAAAATATACTCCTAACGTTTTTGTGCAATTTTAAATAAACAATTCGGATTTTATTTAATTTTAACGTGTAATTAACTTCCCGTAGGGTAGTTATAGTAATGGACCAAAAATCGAAAATGAAAATTTTTGCATTTCTCGACGTTTTGAAAGTTTCTGAACATTTTGGCATTTTTCAGAAAAAATGGATGTGTGTGCGTGTGTTTTGTATGTCCGCATTTTTTCGTCCACGTTTCAACCGAATTTAAAAAACATTCGATTCATATTAATAGGCAGATGTGCTCATTAGTTTTTGGCGAAGGCAGGTTCATCCGTTACGGAGATTTGGAGCAAAAAGTGCAGAAAATAGAAATCGAGTTTTTGAGAGAACGTATCCTCCGATTTGTATGATCCCAAAAACATTCAGTTCATAATGACGGCGAAAAGTGGTTATTAGTTTTTGGCATAGGCAAGCCCAGCGGTTTTGGAGATATAGAGCTAAATGTTAAAAAATGACTGTTTTTGAGAGAACTAAGCGTCCGATTTAAATGATTCAAAGAACTTTCTGCTTGTTTCAACAAAATAATTGCTTTTGGAAAAAAAAATACAAAAAGATTGCAAAAATTCAAAAAATGAACCAGGCTAAGCACGGTCTAAGCGCCACTCTGGTACAAATGTTTACCCAAGTACGTTTAGACTGTTTACGTACTGGAGCGATTATCCAATTTTGTGAAAAACTATTGAAAAATGTGAAAATGCCGCCAAGCTAAGCACAGTATAAATAAATATGTCGCACGGAATTATTTGCAAATGCGTTTAGAATGTGACTATGCGGGTGCACTTTTTCAATTTTGTGTAAATTAGGCAACTATTTTTTTTTTGAAATTGAATTCAAAATGAAATGACGCTTGTTAATGTTCTGGAAGAAAATTGATTTATGATTTACATTTGATTTGCTCAGATATAACAAGATAGCAAATACAATGAAAATGTTTAAAATTTCTCGAAAATTTTATTACGGTACGGGAAGTTCCAGCAATTTGCCTTAAGGCACGATGCCATACACTACTAGTTTATTCTTCATTTCTTAAAAATCTGTTTCGTTCTATTACGAATTTTACATATAAACATGCAAGAAAAAATGTTTTAACAGAATCTGCAATGATGCAGTTATCGTAAGATTCTTTTTTGCTTGTTTATATGTAAAATACGCCTGATCGCACGACAAATAGTTTGAAATATTCACCATTTTCTCTATTAACAAACAAGCATAAGATAGCGTTGTCATCACAACGTTTTTTTTATATTATTATAAGATAATATTTTGTTAATTCAGCATTATAATACTTGGACATTTATAGTAAAATTTTAGATATTTTTTCCTTCTAGGTATGAGACTTTTGTGGGAATTGCGTCAAGAGATCAGGATTTGCGTTTGTTGAAAAAGTTGGCATTGAATTCTATAGAACAAACTTCTTTGGATAAAACTAGGAAAAAAGAGTTATTTGAAGACTGGCAAAAAAGATGGGATGTTTATATTAAATCTGTGCCGAATATTTTGAATAAAAAATTAAACTAGTTTGTATTGGTATTTTGCTTTGAGACGAGTTACATGAACTTCCCGATGTGTGTAAATGATCGACTTAATCAATAAAAAATAAATTAATTTGTGAGTGGTTAAAAGTATTTCGAGTGGATTTATTACACATAATTGAAAACGAACGAACACATTAACTCGGAGTATTTTCTAAAAACAAATTTTTCCAAATCACTAATTTTTATAATTGAACCAGTTTCCGTAGAACTTTAATAATTTAGTATATTCAAGACCAAGTACTCTATCGTTATACCAAGTAAATCGTCTAATTTTAATTTTAAAAAACGTCAACTTCTCATTTTCTCAAACTTTGATGAATTTTTAAAATTTCACTTATAAACAAACAAGGGAAAGTTTTGTGAAAATAGAATCTTTGATTAAGCAGTTATCATAACATTCTCTCTTGCTTGCTTATATGTAAAATTCGCCTGATAGCACAGCAAATAGATAGACATTTTCACGTAAAAAATAATAATTTTATCAGTTTTTTTCTAGTACAATGATATTTATCGACTTGACTATTTTAGTTATGCAATTATAATAAAAATAGGCACATCTGTTTTGATAATAATATTGCATAATTGTGTGTGTAAATACAAATAAAATGTTATTTAGTGACTACTAAAATAAATAACAGTAATATATTTTTGAAGGTTAATTTTTAATTTAATTTAAATATAAAAAGTTGTATAAGTTTTTTTTTAAGAATATTTTATATTAATTAGTCTGCATTTTGATTTCAAAAGGTTTATGTGCAACTTGAATAATAAAAATAAAATCGTGGCATCTGGTGTTAGTTTATTTATATATTTGAACAATCAGAAAAAAATAACTCTGAATTTTTTATTAATTTAGGAGCAATTCACACATCTGCTTTTAAATTTATTTCTCGATAAAATGTCGCATTAAGATTTCGTCATTATTCAAATATCTCATTCCAAATAAATTTCCGCTCATACAGGGAAAAGTTTCGAGGTTTTCGCACATGTTTCCAACTCGAAACATCTGAAAATCTTCAATTCTGAATTTTCACCGCAAATACTTAACAAGAACGCGTCAGCAATCTCACAAAACACGCATCGGCGGCCTAAATACTTGTTAATATAGAGGAAACCGGGGTATTGCATAATATCACACATTTGAAAAAAAGTTAGGGGAGTATTGTAAGAGGGGCAAGTTAAACGATATTAAAACTAGTTGTGTATGGCATCGTGCCTTAAGGCAAATTGCGGAAACTTCTCGTATAGTAATTCTATATTAGATGAAAAAAATTAGTAATCAATAAAAATTGATCAATGATTAATAATAATTGTTTTAAACATTTTCAAATACATAATTATAATCTCTATATATTTTGTCGTTCATAAAATATACAGTGACGATCTTATCGCTCAAAGCACTTGTGAATATTTATATTAGCAAGAGGTGCCGAATAAATCCATCTGATGATATATTTCTTACGATTGGAATAACGCGTTTGAAATATATGTGTACGTTTCAAAACTGAATTGTAAAATTAAAATTCATATTTGAAGTATAGAACATTGTATATTTTTAAAAATTTTGGAAATTTTTTTTTTTGAAAATTTTGAAATTTACTTGATCGTGTAGGTAAATTTTAAAATTCAAATATCTTGGTACCGAACCAAACATAATTATAACAAAATTAGTACTCAAACTTTATCAAATATCTGATAATTTGATGTGCATGAGTCTAATGTTCATTTTTGACCACCAAATATATTTTTTTTTACTTTTGCCTCTGTATCTCCGAAACCGCTAGATCTACCAAAAAATCACATCTTTTATTCATTTCGTCAAAACAAAAAAAATGTTTTTTGAAACATTCAAATAGGGGGATTTGTGCGCCCGAAATCGTGGATCAAAAATTGTATCCAAACATCCATTGCGAAAATGTTCAGAAACCTTCAAAACGTAAAGATATATAAAAAAATCATTTTCGATTTTTTTGCGATTACTATAACTCACCCTACGGAAAGTTGATAATTTTTTGTCTTGATTGGATAAGTATCATATTGTTTTAGCTACCATCCTGCAGCCCGACGCAGTATACAGAAGTGTGCAGATGCGTCACTTTTGTCAGGCCATATAAAATTGTACTGTCATAAAATTTTGGTTTACGTTATTATTGTCGACTAATTTCAAATTTCATATATCTTATTAACTTCCCGTAGAGTTAATTATAGTATTCGTTAAAAAATCTAAAATAAAAATGTTTGCATATCTTTACGTTTCAAAGGTTTCTGAACATTTTGGCATACCTCAGAAAAATGGATTTGCGTATGTATGTAAGGATACAATTTAAAAATGTTCGATTTCAAATGATAAGGAGATGTGCTGATTAGTTTTTGGCAAAGGCAGGTCCAGCCGTTTCGGAGATATGGAGCAGAGAGTGCAAAAAATAGAAATCGAGTTTTTGAGAGAGCGAAGCATCCGATTTGAATGATCTAAAAAACATTTATTATGCAATGATTGGGAGAAGAGGTGATTCGTTTTTCGCAAAGGCATATCCAGCCGTTACGGAGATACGGAGCAAAGAGTGCAGAAAATAGAAATCGAGTTTTTGAGAGAACGGAGTATCGGATTTGAATGATTTAAAAAAACATTTAATTTGTAATGATAGGGAAAAGTGAGAATTAGTTTTGGCAAAGGCAGGTCCAGTCATTTTGGAGATACCGAGCAAAATGTGCAAGAAATTGCTGTTTTTGAGAAAATTAAGCATCCGATTTGAATGATTCAAAAAACATTGAGACAAACGGTGAGAATAAAAGACTATAGTTTTTGGGAATGAAAATTTTTTTATTCCATTTTTTTTAAATTTTCAAAGAATTTTGTTTTTGAATATAGAAAATTATTCGGATGTTAATTTTTGATAAATGTAATTTTGGGTTGAAAATTACAAAAATAAGCCAGATTAAGCACAGTCTGAGCGCCACTCTGGTACAAATGTTTACCCAAGTGCGTTTAGACTGTTTACGTACTGAAACACTTTTCCAATTTTGTGAAATCTATTGAAAAATGTGAAAATGCCGCCGTAGAGCACAGTCTAAGTGAAAACGTCGCACAAAATTATTTGCAAATGCGTTTAGACTGTGACTATTCGAGAGCGTTTTTTCAATTTTGTGTAAATTAGGCAACTATTTTTTTGTAATTGAATTCGAAATGAAATGATTGTTGTTAATGTTCGAGATAAATTTATTTATGATTTACATTTGTTTTGCTCAGATATAACAAACAAGGTATCAAAAATAATGAAAGTTACAGTATTTAGTAATGATCCATTTGAAAATATTTGAAATTCCTCATTAAGGTACGGGAAGTACCAGCAATTCGCCTTAAGGCACGATGCCATACAACACAGCTTCATTTCAAATTTATCAATCTTTGATAATATATAACACTTGTGTTAGCTAAATTGTTTAAATAGTGATCTTGATAAATAAAAAAAAGTCGCACTTATGTTGACACAAGTCTTGGGGCTAGTTGCAACACACAAGAATGCTACTGTATCTGGTAAATATAGTAAACCTTATAAAAATTTCAAATAATTTTAAATTCTACCAAATTTTCCATTTCTCCCCTATCCCCAAGATTGGGGAACTTTACAATTACCCCGAAGGCGATATGTTGCCTTAATGTGGTATAAATGTAACACAGAAATGATATGATACTCTTTTGTACTTCCATCGAGTCGGAAGGAAAGTTCATTACATTCTAGTCGAGGATTATGTAGGATTTTGTGGCAGTAGTCCCTTATTATACACCGAGCCAAGGGAATATTATAATGTTGCTAAAGGATCCTTAATCGGATTAGGATGATTTTTTTCGATATGGGAAAGATTGTAGTTTTTTCCATACAAATGTGGTCAGAAGAAGTCGATGTGAGATGAAAAGAGCAAAGTTGGAGGTCGTAGATTTTTTATAAACTTAATAATAATATATAGCTATTATATATGTTATGTATAGGACTTGAGTTAGTTGTATTTGACAATGAAAATTAGTAATCAACTTTGCTGTGAACTTTTTGGAGTCAGCGATAATTAAGTGGATGCCAACGGAAGTCCGGTGTCAGGGCTAGAGTAAATGCGTTAACCCGAGGAGTTGGCGTACTTTTTAAGTAGGCAACGGAAGACCAATAATTAGGGCGTTGCACAAAAGTCTACATTTTTTCAATTCTTGTATCCATGTTCAATTGTTATTTTTATTTTAGATGTCTATCTTCTATCTTCTATATATATAAAAATAAGTCGGGTTTTCCTTCCTGACGAAATAATTCCAGAACGCACAAACCGATTTCGACAATTTTGCATTCGTTGGAAAGGTCTGGGGCTCCGCATGGTTCATAGCTAAGAAAATTAGTGGTGCATGGCATCGTGCCCTAATGCAAATTGCTGGAACTTCACGCACCGTAATTAAAAATTCGAGTAATGACATTAGTGAGAATTTTCAGAATTATGCTTGGTTAAGTCTACGAGCAATTCTTGCCGCCAAGAAATACGATGTACACGCACTGAATTTCACCATTCAATCAAAAATTTCTGGCGATTTGGTGACATACCAATGATTCCGACTGGTCTTCCGTTTGACATCAAACGATTGTAATTTCCAGTTCGCAATTACAAGTCTCAAGGTCAATCGCTTAGTGTTTGTGGGATAAATTTCAAATAGATTATTTATAAAATAATTGTTTTTCACATGGGCAGTTATACGTTGCCTGTTCACGAGTTGGAAAACCATCTACTTTGTTTGTGTTAACGTCAGACCAAAAAACAAAAAATGTGGTTTACCAAAGAGCACTTCAATAAAACGGATAATTTGCGGATTCACTTTCATTTACTAGAGAAGTTCAACTAAAAAACACGTCATTTTTGTAATCGAAATAAATTCATTACTGTTGTATAATAAAATCAAATTTTTCCTTTTCAAATATAAAACAAACAACAAATTTCTTCATCTTTTCGCACGAAACCATCTGGTGGCGAAACGGAGTTCGTCGGGTTTGCTAGTCTTTTATAAAAATGTATTAAAATACATCATTATCAAAACTATACAAAATGTCATGATATAAATATTTGTTTCTCTCCATGCTTATGGCCTACATGATTCTCACAATTTAATAAAAATTTACAAAGGCAATTATAATTATATCGAAGCTAATATTTATTTTTGTTACAAAATAATAGTTTATAGTTAATAGTTTATTAACTCATGTAGAATCACATTGATGGTAAAATTTAAATCCTTTATTTTTTGCAAACTTTCATATATATTTCTACAAATTGTATAGTGTAGCTTTGTGCAATAATATAGAGTATGATACTGAGAACTTGGTGGAATAATTAGACGAAACTTTTAATACCTTATTTTGATTTATATTGTTATTATTCATGTATATGGGTCAGAAACAAATGACACAAATTGCATTCCTGGAACTGGAATTAGATTAGTTGTGGATATCTGGTTTAATTATTGGAAAATAAAGTTATGTAGAAAACACAGTCTATATCAGAGTTTGTTGTTGGTTTTAAATTGGATGAATTCAGTTTCAAGGATTTTGAATATCCATGTCAAGGATAGGTAAAAATCTGAAATTTAAACAAATACCAGATTATTTGTCAGTATTGGCTTCCTTGGTCTGAGCACACCTTAGGCCACTTTTTTAAGATAAACCCTCGAATAAATTCTATACCCCCAGTATGTATATTACATACAAAAAACGATTTCTAGCTAAAAAACAGGTTCTCGATGTCGACATCAAAGGCTTTCGATCTCCGATATCAATACTTTGAATAAAAGCCACAGCCTTTTTCACTTTTCCACTTTTTCACTTCAATCACGAAACCATTTTCAGGGCTGATTTGGAAATAAGAATTTCACTTAAATATTAGCTATGAAATATTACAAGACGAGCGAGTCCTTCAGGATTAAAATGTCAAGGACAAAGATATTGTTCGATTTTTTTTGTATTCAGGAATTTCGAAATTATCGGAATTACTGAAGAATTTTGTAATAAATATTCTATATAAACAGAAAGCTTGCACCGTTGTACAAAATTATAATATAACCAGTTGCTTTAAGATAAGATTTTCAAACCAATAAGAGGGATGTTTGGATGCAATTTTAAAGTATACCGAGTTAATATAGAATCTTGTAGTATCAGTATACATTATAGATAATTTAATTTTGTACAAATTTGACAAATATTACATTTCTATTTGACAAATAGTTTAAAAGTTACAAGAGATACATTAATGTACCACATCAATTCACGATTGCATTTTGAGCCCTAAACTAATTATTGATGTTTGAATGCGATTTCCAAGTATACCGAGTATTACTATATTATCAGTATATATTATAGATGATTAAATTTTGTACAAATTTGTTAAAAATTACATTTTTATTAGACAAACTATTTAAAAGTTACAAGAGATACTTAAAATAAATTTACCACATCGATTCACGATTGCATTTTGAGTATTAAATCAATTATCTATATTTGAATGCGATTTTTAAGTATACCGAGTTGCTGTAGGGTCTTGGAGTATGAGTATATATCATAGATAATTCAATTTTAAACAAATTTGTCTAATATTACATACTTTTTAGACAAATAGTTTAAAAGTTACGAGAGACACAATAAATACTTGCTCAATGTCGATTCACGATAGCATTTTGAGCATTAAATCAATTATTGATTAAAATAATTATTAATAAATATTATTAATTATTGTTAAATATAATTTCTCAATTGCAAAAATATTAATAATTTTTATTTCTGCTCTGACAGAAAATTCTAATAATTTACCTTTAAATAATTTACAATTATTAGCAGTAACAGTTGCTGATAATTAATAGTAATACAATATATTTATTCAACCTATCAAAGGCAAATATTCAATTTCATTCTGAATATTTATCTTTGAATTTCCTGACTAAAGTAAATTGTATAATACTTTGTGTGTTTTGTATTATATTTCACACAAAATGTAATGCTGTACGGTAGCACATCAGGCGCAATTTTCCACTCATGGGCAATTTTGTATGAATCACTTGCAGTTGTTCTAAAACTTACAAATGTACAAAAAAATATAAAACTTTCATACATTTATATATGAAATTTACATACAAAGCATATA